ATATATATCAACCCATTTCTCTTGATTGCGCTTCCAATCAACTTATACCAAATTCTTGAATTCTTCTCCGTTCCCTTGATTACAATCATCAAACCTTTTATAATTTTTAACCACCACTTAAAGCAGAATATCCATAACCTAAACTGTCTAACTTTTCCAAGAAAAATTAAATTTACTGAAAAGTTTGGACCATACCTCACATTTTGAAGTATCTTGACACGACCATATGCAAGCAAATCTTTACACAAGCAATACTTTCGATTTTCTCTTTACACGACCATATGTAAATCCGTGTCTCACACTTCTCAAGTTTCAAAAACAATTGTTTTCTTGTGCATATATGTTGGGAACATGAAGAGTCCGAAACCACAAGCATAGAATTTTTGAATTTTTATTTTTCTCTTGAACCATCAAAACTTCATTGGCAGATGATGCCATAGCTTTATTCTTCCCATTCTCCTTTCCTTTAGCTTTCATGAAATTTTTCATATCCTCTGTTTAACATCTTGAAATAAGTTTTATGTGTTCAATCTTATGAGAACAATAACACTCTTTATTACTCCAATCTATTCTAGGCCTAGAACATCATCTATCCCTCCATCTTCCACCATATTTTTCTCTTACTTTATTTCTCCCCTGCTCCATCATCAAAGCATTATCCCTTACTCCATCATCAACAATCTTTAAATATATATATATATATATATATATAACAGGTAAAATAAATTAAATAAGGTAAATCCACACCTGATTATATGAGAAAATCTAACATTTCAACTTATAAGCACTCCATAAATTGTTTTAATTAAATTACATGTATCAATAAAAGTTACAATTATCCTTTCAAAAATAAATAAATAACAGTTACAATTATAATAAAAAACTTTTAACATATGTCTAGTAGAAGAAACTAGCATGCAAGTCAGACGAACAAATTAAGCGTAAAGTTGCATAAATTCGAGTTATATCATGAGACTTCAACCTGGAATTCACAAATTTCTAGACCTCTTCCTTATTATTGAGACAAACCTCATTAGCCAAGTTGTCGGTAATCTTAAATTTTAATTTAAACTTGTCCTTGCAGCTGCGAGAAACGGTTATGGTTTGGAAAAGTTAGGGAAGGAGATGGTGAAACATTGCAAGGGTTTGCCATTAGCCATCATTGTGCTTGGGGGTCTTTTGTCCACAAAGCAAACATTTGATGAGTGGGATAAAGTCCATGAAAATATTAAATCATATTTGAACCGCCAAGACGAAAGCTTCTCAATTCCTGAAGTGCTCGTTTTAAGTTATGATGATTTGCCACAACGACTGAAACCATTGTTCCTTTATCTAGGCACATTCCCAGAGGATTTTCTGATATCTGTAAAGAAATTGACTAACTTGTGGGTAGCGGAAGGTATGATTCCACCTGTTTCCGGTTATGAAGGGGAAGAGACAATGGAGGACGTTGCTTATCGTTACTTAGATGAAATGGCTGAAAGGTACATGGTTCAAATAGAAAAAAGAAGTCCAACTGGGAGGATTAAGACTTGCCGCATGCATGATTTGATGCGAGATCTTTGTTTGTCGAGGGCTCAAGAGGAAGACATTTGTGATGTTATCAACCTTAATGATAAAAACAAGCACAATGATTTTTTTCAATCTATCACAACCAAGGTGAAGCCAGCTGGTAGAATTCGCAGACTTTCGGTTAATTTGAGGAACTTTAGTGGGTGTATTGGATTGGAAACTGAACAGTATCCTCCCATTAGGTCTATATTAGGCTTCTCCTTACAAGAACATAGTGGAATAAGTCAGGAGCTAATGGATTCCATGGTCAATAAGTTCAAGTTGCTTCGAGTCTTAGATCTTGAAAATGTTAAGGGTTTTAAAATACCTGACGAAATAGGAAAACTAGTCCATTTAAGACTCCTAAATGTAGCATCGGCCTGGATTGGAGAACTTCCGTCATCGATGGGTGACTTGAGCTGCTTGTTGACTCTGTATCTTGATCGTCGTTATTCAACATCAAGAATGCCCGATGTGTTTTGGAAGATGCAACGACTGAGGCATCTGTATCTCCCTCCTGACTGTGGCGATGACACAGAAAAACTTCTATTTGCTAATCTTAGCAACCTGCAGACACTATTTAACTTCCCTTCACGCCATGCAGATGTAAAAGATCTCGTCACATTGACAAATCTCAGAAAATTGGTGATCGTTATAGAGGATGAGGCCTCCTTAGGATCATTCCAGGAGATTTTCGAACCCGGAACTGTTACATTTAATCACCTTCGCTCCTTGATAATAAAGCCAAAATGGAGATCCTTCAACACTACCCTTGATGTACAAAAGGTTGCTGCATGCTGCCCTCGCCTCTGCAAGTTGAAACTACATGGGAAAAAGGTGTATGAGAGGGGTACCAATGCCTTCTAAATGGGCTTCGACTTGCTTTGAAAAGGATGCTTTGCTTTACATCTACGTACGCTGTTATCATTTTCTTTAGTTTTTCCTGTCCTGCACTACTTTGAGTGATGTATTTTTCTAAGTGTTTACTGCTTGTTTCTTATTTGGTGTGCTCGCTCTAATTTTAATTTCATCAATAAAGTAACTTTGTCGGTTTTTTCTATTTTTAGAAAGGAATAATTGTATGGGTTATCTTTCCTTTATATTTGTTCTGTATTTTTTTGCTGCATTATTGAATTTAAAATTAAAAATCTCGATTTAGGTTAATGTATTGCATTAATTATATATTTTTCTATATAGAAGAAAAAAATTATCATCCAATTACGTGCCGCTATATGGATTTAATAATATCTTAACCATATAATTAATTATAAAATAATCAATTTATTCGTTAGATTATTTTAAAGATATATAGTTGAACCAATTTACCTATTGGTATATATTTATCTCTTGAGATTATTTGAAGATAATATTTAAATTATACCAATCAAAAATTAGTTATTGATCATCCATATTATCTCTAAATAAATCAAAATAATTTAGAGATAATATTTATATTTTGACCAATCAAAAGTTAGTTGTTGGTCATCCAAGTTATCTCTAAATAAATAAAAATAATTTGCAGATAATCTTCATAATTTTGACCAATCAAAATTTAATTATTGGTCATTTAAATTATCTCTAATAATTATATTAATTTAGAGATAAAAATCAAATTAGATTATTTAATTTATCTCTAAATAAATTAAGATAATTTAGAGATAACACCTAACTTCGGCCAATCAAAATTCAAGGACTCAAAGTTCGGCTAATCAAAATATTTTCAATGAGTTATCATAATTTATCTCTAAATAAATTAAAA